TGGTACAAGGCCATTACTTGGGAAAAAAAAAAGGAATATTATGGATACTGAGAGAGTTTAGCTGTGACAGAATGGAAGTTTGGGGCATAACTGGACTCATTCCATGGCACTTTTACTGCTCTTCAGCACAAGCTTATTTCTTAACAAGGCAGAGGAGTGTTCTCATCACCAGGAAGATTTTATTGCTGTTCTTTGGATGAACTTTAATGTCTGCTCCAAGCAGGGGGAAAAAATCCTTAGAAGGAGTTCAGGGAATTAATTTTCTCGTTTTAGAAAAGACTCCAGTCTGCCAAAAGGTTTTGCTCAGAACTGACCTGCCTTTATTTTGCTTAAATAGCTGTCTAACACCCAGTCTGGTTCCCCCCAGGAGGGCTCAGGAGGTCTATTTGCTGCCCAATTTGTTGCTCCTGTTGGCTGAGCACGGTTGTGTTTTGTTCGTGGCTCATCCCCAGAGACCCCAGGGAGTGCAGGAAAATGTCACAGGCCATGAACCCACTCAGACTCGCTCAGAAAGTAACAGGGAGAAAATCAACAACGGCCACCACGAAAGAGATAGAGAGACAAAAGCAGAGAAAAGGTGGAATTCAGCTAAAAGCTGGAAAACTCCCTGTGTTTGTAGGAAGAGGGGAAAATTTCAAATCTACTTTATTGTCCCTAAAACTTAGACACGGATTTGGGACTTTTGGAGCACATGCAGTTAGGACTGGGGGACGAGTCTTCCTGCAAAAAAACAGCTTTTCTGCTCCTGAGGTAACCTGTCCAGGGTACCTATGCACCCCCCAGCCCAGTCCCACGGAGCTGCTCCTCTGCAGGCACCAAACCCACTCCTGCCCTCCCCTCTAACACCGGGATGAGCCCCCTGGAATGTCCCCTGGGATGGGGGAGCTCTGTCCCACTGCTGGGACCACTTTGGTGGGACCTCAGCGCTCGTGGCTGGGGGGTGGCAGCTCTTCCCCGAGGCTTTGGGGTTTAAATGCCTGTTTTCCTGCTGCACTCAGCCAGCCTGGCTCTGGCTGGGTGAAGAGGAACGTCTCAATCAGTCTCTCCCTCGTGGAAAACTTCCCTCTGCCTTTTTTTAATTATGGAGAAGGTGGAATTTACTGGCATTTTCCCTGATACCTCTGAATCATGTCCCAGTTCCCAGCGTCTCACCCCCTGTAATCTTCCCCAGCGATCCTGGTTTCCTCTTTGAAGTGATTTGGGGCTTGTTTATCACAGGGGCAATCAGACACATTTCTCAGGAGCCACCCTAAGAGCTGAGTGTTCCCTTTGGTGGGTGGGCTCGGGCACAAAGGCAGATCTCCACATCTAAACAGGTTACCAGGCACTGCCCCAGCAAATCACCCTGTGCATCATCTCCCCTGTGGCAAGTGCCAGGTAGGCATGGTAATGTCAGGGTGATGCCAGGGTGATGTCAGGGTAATGAAGGAATGTGCCCTGGAGCACCTGCCACCAGCTGGGAACATGAACAAACCCAATTACTGGAGCCCAGCAAATTGCAAGCCACAATAATTCAGTTATAAATCTACATCCCCAGGTTAATTTGGTGTGACTTTTGCATCCAGACTCCAGCCTTCACGGGTTGCAGGAGCCGACTCCCTGTTCCTGGCTCTCCTGCTGTCCTTTACAGCAGGACACGGTGCCAGGGGGGTGTCAGTGCCCCAAGGGCAGCACCATTTCTCCTGCTGTCTCTGTTTTTAGCCACCCTGCTCACTGGCTCTGGATTCTGAGTGCCAGCCCCAGACTCACGGGTTGTGTTTGGGGTCAGACCCTCACATTCTGTCCCATATCTGTGCTGTTCCCTCCCAGAGGGAGGCAGGAGCAGCACTTTGTTACCAGCTCTGTGTGTCATGGAATCATCTTGTGCAATGGGTTTGACATGGACCCAGAAATGTGGGTTTAACCTGCTCCCCAGACCATGTGGCACCCCATTTCTGTCACCTTCAGAGCACCCCTGGCTGTCCCTGCTGTGAGCAGTCCCTTTACAGGACCCACAGCAGCTGCTTTGCCATCTTGCTGGGTTGTTGTTGGGGTTTTTTTTCTATCAAACTTGAAGAATTCTGCCAGATCAAAGTCACTTTTCTCTTTGACTAAAGCTCCCAGAGGGAGGGAGGTGTTCTGAGAGATGTACATATTTGTTTAGACTGGCACTGGCTGCCCATTTCTTCACACAGACGAGCTCTCAGCTCGTAACCTGTCTGCTTCAATCACATTTGCAGCTCCTGGGTTTTCCTCTGAAGCTCTGTACATTTTCCAGCTGGTGGTTTGACAGAGCTCTCTGAACTCACCCTCACGAGAGCTGCACAGAGATTCTCGTGTTGCTCTTACCATTTGGAGACAGGATTAAATTTATGGCTAACGTTAATTCTGGCTTTTCTCACTTTTCCACCATGATGTGAATAAAAAAAAAATGCAGCTTCATGGCTGCATTCTTAAATAAGTATTAACAGTGGTTGTTATGAAACATTTGATGCAGTTACAGAGGCTGAAGCTGTGACCCTGTTTCCTCCCAGGTGATGCTCGTAGCCCTTCCCCTGTGCTCTGCACACAGCTGAGGGGGTTTATTTGTAATTACGCCCACGTGAACACAGGTAGGAAGCAGAGACAGCCACTGACAGTGGTCACTGTTAAGAGCTCCCAACAGCAGCTGTGGCAGAAGGGACCTGCACAGAGCCTGGATCTTCTCCTCTGCCTGCACTGAGGTACAGTTTGCTGTGGCTCCCTGTCTCTGGGCACATTTGTTTTGGATAAAAGGGCAGGGCAGGTGTGCTGGGGAGGGACTAAAGCCAGAAAGGTGCTGCTGAAGGTGGCCCTGGCAGGGGGTTGGAATGAGATGGTCTTTAAGGTCCCTTCCAAACCTGCCCAGTCTGTGGTTCCATGAGTGGCATGAGTTCCATGAGGTGGTGGAGGGGGCAGCAGCCTCGTGGGGTGGGCACAGGGGTTGCTGTGTCCCTGTGGCACACTGCCCTGGCAGCTCAGGACCACGAGAGCTGGCTTTCCCACCCCGAGCCAGCACAAACCCTCTGTGCCCTTTGCTTGGTGCCCTTCCCTGAGCCTGGCACAAAGTGGTGCAGCCGAGCTGGCAGAGGTGTGCCCTCCCCAGGCAGAGGTGTGCCCTCCCCAGCTCATCAGAGCCAGGGCTGCAGTTGATTAGTGCAGCAGGGAAGCCATGCCCAGCCTGGCTAAATGTGCTCCCTCGCTTTCATTATCCCACTTTTCTTTCACGGGCCCAGCATGGCAGCTTGGGAATGCAGAATGTTTTTCCTCATTTAAAGGGCCTGGGCTTTGCTTTGCTGCTTTGAGTCTCTTTAAAGGCATTTCTTGGTCTGTTAATTGTTCATTATACCTTAATTATATTTAGTCCACCATCCATCACTCTTCCTTTGGTGGAGAAAGTTGTTATTTATGAGTCAAAAGCTATTTAGGAAGCAGACAGTCTGGTATCGTCAAAGACTTGGGGGAGCAGTTTAGGTTATTAAAAGAAGCTTTGATTAAAGAGAGGGAGTTAATTTAACAAGTGTAACTGGTTTAATTTTTTTGTTGGTGGTGGTTTTTTTGTTGTGTTTTTCTGGATGTGCAGAACAAAGCACATCCATGGGTCTGTCAGGCCTGACCTGAAGCTGTAAGACTCACTCAGATGCCCCAGGAGATGGGCAGGTCGTGCTGTTTTCTCTCTTTTGGGTGGTGTGAATGGTGTTTTGCAGTCCCCAGCCTCAGAAATAAAATCTGACTGTAAGGGTGAAGTCAGAGGAGCTGCCTTTGATCCTGCCAGGCTGAGGCCAGACAGGCTGAGAACAACTGGTGTGTGTCCTGTTTCATCTTAGAATATCATTTATTCTGTTGTGTTGGGGGGGGGTGTCATTTGAGCCCCTCATTTTTCCTCATGGTGGCATTGAGTTGAATCATCCAACAAGGAGAATTAAACCTCATTTGTACTCAGTAGCTCTGGAGATTCTGGTTTCTGCATAAACTGAGGACTTCAGGGCAGGGATTATCTTTGTCCTGTGTTGGTTGAAAACAAGTACTGAAAACTTTGGTTCATGCCAAGGACCCAAAATACCATAAAACTGAAATTTTAGTTCGTTACTTCTTGGAAATAGATAATTTTCTTTCCTAGGAGTGGAAAGGATTATCTTTTTTATTATTATTATTCTTTTTTGTATGAAGAAAGTAATCTTTAGACAAAAGTGCTCACTAAGCCAGGCTGAGGTTCACCTGCAAAAATACCAAATATTTCAGTGTGTAGCTTGAGAAAACAGTGCCACAGTAGGTGCAACATAAATATAAATATTCCTGAATGAAACAGTGAAGTTCTCCAGCATAAATTCAAGTGAAAGACAGAGGGGGGAAAAGCTCCCTGTGACTTGGGATAAGGCAGTGCTGTGATGCCACAAGGACCAGCACAACCCAGCTCTGGGCTGGGCATTTCCCTGCTTCCCATCCCTCCCTCCTCCAACCCTCCCCAGCCCACTTCTGCCCAGAGAAGAGAGACAGAGAAATTTTAAGACCAGTTTGTTTCTGCCTGTGTTTTTCCTCCCCCTTCCTCTGACATGTCTGTTCCTCGGAGCTTCAGGCTGGACAAGCACCAGGATTACTACAGATAGACTGGGATAAGGGAGAAATGGGGAAAAGAAACACAGTTATTCTGAGAAACAAGCCAAAAAAAAAGCCAAGATCTGCTCTGAGGGTGGATTTTCCCGTTGGTGTTTGTCCCGCGTGTCCCTGGGGTGTGACCCCTCACACTGCTGGTGCTAAACAGAACAAAACAACCATGTAACAGCAGGGTGGCTTGTGCAAGTCTCTGTTTAATGACAGTGCTGCATGAAGACATTTGTTGGTGTCGCACGTACCTGGGATGGGCATTTTTACATTCCTGTTTGCACTGCACATGTTCACCACGGAGGTAGTGCCTTTATTTTTCCTGTTTTCCTTTTTTTTTTGTTTTGTTTTGTTTTGTGTGTTTGTTTTTTTTTTATTTCCAGCAGGATTTAATAAGCTGGTCAGACGTACTGTAGTTAATGTACTCTTCAGTCAGGAAGATAAACGGTGTAGTGGGAGCGAGCAGGCAAGCGGCAAATACAGTGCAGGCAGAATTCACTGGCTTTTAATTCAAACCTGTTTGGGGGTGCCAAGAGCCCCCCTCCCGGGCTTTCAGCAAGCTGGGAATCACAGGGAGGAAAAGCAGGAACAGGAAGACTCCAGTAAGCAGAACTAAAGCTTCAGTTATAAATAATGAATCACAAAAGGGGGGGCTGTGGCAAAGGGTCTGAAGTTCTGGAGGGGACAAAGAAACGAAACCTTCTCGTGGGTGTGTTTTAAAAACCAGATCCATCCCCAGCATGTCCTGCCATCAGGAGTCTTTGGGAAAGCAGTGTTTTACTCCAGAGTGGGAGGAGTAGTGAGGTCTGTGTTTGCCAGGTCCAGGGCAAGAGGCCTCAGGGTCCTTCCCGGTGCAGCTGAATTCTGATGGTTCTTTAGAGGTTTCTACAAACATCCTCCATCCCAGCCATGGGCTGGTTGTCCTTGTGTCAGGTGCTGTGCAAGCAGCTGGCAGAGCCTGTCCTTGCTCTTGGCATTGGTTTATTCTGTTTATTCTCTGTGAAGCCAGAGGTGATGGTGTGGTTTGGTCCTCTCTCCGAAAGAGTCCCGAAGGCTCAGTTCAGGGGTGGAAAGTGCTTTAGTTTGTTGGGTGGAAGTGTAGATGGGAAAGGAAAACCTGCAGAGGTGAACAGATATGGCATTGCCACCATTCCAAGGCCAAGGTTTTCCCATGAGATACCTTTGAGCCTGGAGTGCTGGGATGTCCCTGGGATGAAGGGTGGGCTGCAGGGAGTTCCTCACAAACACTTTAAGCTCTAGGAAATGACCCCTGGGTTTCCTGGTCCGAGCTGGCACACACATGGAGGACATTGGCCCTTTTTCAGCAGCTGTTTATCCTCCACAGTGTTTTGGAAGAGTTTTTCATGTAGTGGTTGAGGTGAGTTGAGCTATGAGGTTCTGCATCTGCTTTCAGAAACTAAACCTTGGAACAAAGTGCACAGTACTGGAGATGATGATTTTACCCTGGGTTAACACTGAACATGAAGGAAAATTATGGCACAAAGTTAAGATAATATTCACATTCCTTATTCTGAAGGCTCACACCGTGTTTTAGTGCAGGGCAAATATCACCTATGGCAACTTCCAAATGCTTTAAAGCTTTTTTCTATCTGTCTGCATATTATTTTCTATTTTGATTCAGCTCCCCACCTGTTAATTCACCACGACAAATGGCATCTTTCTGCTTGTAAATATGTTAGAAAATAGAACAGTAACTTGTTACTATTTTTCTACCCAAAAACCTACTGACTTTATGTCATTCTGTGAATGAAATAAGTGATTTCAGCCTGAGTTGATTCCCACCACTGAGTGAACTTGCTTGGTTAAAACTGAGGGGAAAAAAAGAACAGCCAATGTGTGCCTGAGATCTCAAGTCAGTGTTTCCAGTTTAGAGCTATGAACAGACCCTGAAGAGCCAGGTCCAAATGTTAAACAAGTTTGTGGGCTAAACATTAAAACCACTGCATATCAGCCCCTTTCAGGAACACCAGGGTCAGAATGGAAACCTTTTGGATTCAGGTGGGACTGCTGTTTCAATTGCAGAAAACAGCTGAGATTATGTGTGGTAGCTGCTTGACATCATCTCTTCCTGCTACAGAGCTGGAACACACCCTGCCAGCCCAGGGAAATGCTTTGTCAGCAACACAGGAAAACCAGGGAATCAGAGAAACCCTTGGCAGTGAACTTTACCTATTCTGAAGCATATGTGAATATTCCACAAACTGCATAGAGAGAAAGGGGACTATATTGCTCTCTGGGTTGTGTTTTAGCATCTTCAGAAAACAGCAGGTAGGGAGTCTGCCTCTGCATTATGGCTATTGCAATGTGCTGCTGCTCCAGAGCCTACAGGAATTTCTAACCAGGCCTATTTCTGTGTCCTTTTATTCGTCTTGCTATGGTTTATTTACAGAGATATTGCAAAACATACTGTGAACTGAGTACAATTAGTAAGTGCAGTGTGGATTTGGCAATGCCAGACTCAGCGGGGTGGAATTATGCTGTTATGGGTTTTCAATTCCTATAATCCGTGGAAAAATAGGTATCAGAGAGTAAGGGATGCTGGGAACATCCAGACCTTTTCCAGAGTCCAACTTGGACACAGGAGCTGGTCCAGGCAGGGGCTTTCTTGGGTTTTTATTCTGGCTTTTTCCAAAGCACACAGTTTTATCTCCTTCAGTGTTAATTTAAATTAGGCACAACGTTATTCTGCACTCTCTGCTGAGAGACTGAGGCAAATCAGACCCGAGGTGGTGCTGGGCTCTGTGGCACCCTGATTGAGGTGAGAAGAGCCAGACCTGACTTGGCTGACTTGTTCAAGCTCCCACCTGAGGGGGTCAGGGCTGCAGGTGCCTCCCGGGGCACCCTGTCCTGGGGTGTCTACATTCACCATGGCACCACTGCCCCAGGCTGGGAATCCTGCTGAGAGACTGGACATGAGGTGCTGGTGGGCAGAAATCACTGCTGATGAGAGATGAGGGTGTCCTGTTTGATGTACACCATGCAAGACAAGCTACCACTTCTCGAGTTTCTCTCTCCTTTTTTTTTTTTCTTGGCTTGGGCTCCCGTAGTTCCTCCTGTTTATTCATATTTACACCTCTGTAGTGGCCAGACATGAGACTGACGCCTCCTTCTTCCTTCTGCCCACAGCTTGGAGGCCCACACTGCTGCAGGGTTGGGTCTGTGGGTGGCAGAACCTTCTTGACCCGCTTGGGGACCTCTTAAAGTGTTGGTGGGTTTTTTTTCTGAAGGCTTCAGCAGTTTGACACTGGGCGGGTCAGCTCGAGGCGAAGGCAAAGCTGCTGCGTGGAGCTCCCACGGGCTCTGCCTGGTTCTGGCTCCTGTTGCGAAGCGGAAAAGATGGTCTTGTCTTTGGTGAGAGTGGAGAGACCCACCACTACCTCCCCGTGGCTCTGAGACTGTCTGTGTCCAATGCCCCCGAGGCTGGATGGCCACGGGCAGCAATCAGGCCAGCGTTGCCTCGGCTTCCGCTCCCGCTCGGAGCGCAGTGCGAGGGCAGCTCTGGAAAGTGCCCTGGTGGGACTGCTGTCCCAAAGGTCACCCCGAGGGACGAGGGAACCTCCCCCCTGCACCCCCACCGAGGCGTGGGCATGGCACTGCTGTCACCCCGGGGGCCTCACGCCCGGCACACGAGCCCCCTCGGCGTGCGTGAACTGGCGTGGGGGGGGGTCTTCCTTCCTTTTTTTTTTTTTTTTTGTTTTGGTTTTTTTAGGTTTTTTTCCCCCCCTTAAAAACGCTGCTGCTGTTTTGTTTTGTTTGGTTTTTTTTGACTTTTAGCAGTGGAGGATCTTCATGAAAGCCTTGCGGAACTCGACGTTGAAGGTGGTGTAGATAATGGGGTTGACAGCGCTGTTGACGTAGCCCAGCCATGTGAAGGCGCTGTACATGGCCGGGGGGATGCTGCAATCGCAGTGCATGTTCAGGATGTGGGTGATGAAGAAGGGGAGCCAGCAGATGATGAAAACACCTGGGGGGGAGGGAAAGGAGAGAGAGAGACAGGCTGTGACTGCTGAAAGCTGGCCGGGTTTCTGAGGCCGAGAACAGCGAGGTTCTTTTGGGTATAAAGGGAGAATGCTTCCCTGAGGAATAAGCTGCTGTTTCTGTGTTAGGTCTCGGTCTGCGTTCTACCCAGGTACTAAAGAACTTCTCTGCTTGTGTAATTAGAGCAGATGCATCAGAAACTCTGGCCTCTGGGGTGCCAGTTCCTTGCTGGGCTATGCCCCTGCACCCAGCTGTGCTTTGGGACACCTCCCAGAGCTTTATGAACCCCTTGTACTGCACTGCCAGCTGCCCCTGGCTGGGCAGGAGGGACTCTTCCCATGGGCACCTGCTGCCCACAGAGCAAGTGAAATTATTTCTGTGGAGGGCTGGAATAGGCTCTGCTGGCCATCCAGACTGGCCCTAGGCCTGGGCAGGTGCTGCATTTCTGCAGGAGCAGCAGGGCACTCACCAAGGACGATGGCCAGCATCTGGGTGGCCTTTTTCTCCTTCTGCTGGGACAGTTTCCTCCTGGTCACAGCCTTGAGGAAGTTCCTCGTCTTGCCGTTGGGCAGGGAGTGGATCTCGAAGACCTTGGCTGTGTGGTGGGTTTCTTTGGCATGGCCATTCTTCTCCACTCTCCCAGGGCTGTTCAGGGATGTCTGCAGGGTGGAGTTGTTGCCCCTGTTGGAGGCAACTGGCACGACCAGCTGGCGGTTACTGGGTGCTGCGGGTTTGAAGGTGGTTTTCTCAGGGGGGCTGGTGCTGGACACCATCTCCATTTCCATCTCCTCCATGTGGCTCTCTGCCTCCTGGACAAGAATCAAATGTCCACAACAGAAAGACAGATAAATATACAGAGAGGAGCAGTGAACATTCCTTACAGAGTGAAGCTGGATGATGCTGGAGAACAATCAATCCCTCTTCTCCCTCCCTACGTGATGCCTGGAGAAAGGGCTGTGAAATGTTTACAGATATTTTGGGTAGATAGGAGTGACAGAACTTCACTGAAGGATTCTTCTTTATTGCACAGAGAGGCTCAGAAATGAGAGAGGTGCTTTCTCCACTCCCCACAGATTTTTATTTAGGTTTTCAGAACGCAAGTAAATAAAAATTAAACCAACAAGCAAAACCCAACAAAGCCAATGCAGTCCAAGATTTAAGTAACAGAGAGGAGAAGGAAATCAAAGACATGAAATGTTCAAATGCTGTGGCTTTTAGAGCTGATCTTTAGGTGAGATTAGTCTGCCTTTTGGAACTCTATCCTCTTAAACCCCCTGCTTCACTCCAAGGAATGGGAAGAATATTTAAATTGTGAGATCGAATGGCAACCTTTTGTTGTTAGTTTGTTTTTCTCCCACCCTGCATAAATTAACTGTGTGTCCTGAGGGGTGAGAGGGGGAAGGCTAAATGCTCTGAAAAGCTGCCACTTCTCTGTAACACTCACCACTTTGCGCTTATTAACTTGGAAGCTCCCATTGGACTTCACAATAACTGTGCAGAGCTTGACGTCTTCTGGATGAGTGCATTTGTCCTAAGGGGCAAGGACCAGCTCAGAGGTTACACAGGCACAGAGGGGTTGGGGAGGGGAGCTGGTGAGGGAGGCACGTGGAAATACAAACACAGGGCACGAGGCAGGAATTAATCAGCGTGAGGATGGTGGAAAACTGCTCTGGAGAAGCAGTGATGGGGGTGACTATCCCTTGGGCTTTTCACCAAAGGCAGGAAACCTCAGAGATCTGCTGGTGTTTGTCTGTCCCTGTCTCCTCTCCTCGGCATGGCAGTGGCCCTGAGGCAGCACAGTTTGGAGGTGGTGCCTCTGGGGCTGCACTTTGTCTGTTTTGCATGTGCTGCCAGAGTGGTGTTTTTAAGAGCTCTTTGACACCCAGCCCGCTCAGCTGGGCTCCACTCACACATCTGGTGCTGGCAAAGGCTGTTTCCCTGCAGAGGTGCCGGGACCAGTGATGGGGTTTGCACCCCAACCACACAAACCATTTCCACTGAACCCTGGGGAGACCTTGTGGCACCTAAAGGGGGGTCACGAGGAAGCTGGAGAGGGGCTTTTCACAAAGAGTGATAGGACAAGGGGGAATGGCTTTAAACTGAAGGAGGGCAGGTTCAGATGAGATATTATGATGAAATCCTTCCCTGTGAGGGTGGGGAGGCCCTGGCACAGGTTGCCCAGAGAAGCTGTGGCTGCCCCATCCCTGGAAGTGTCCAAGGCTAGGTTGGACGGGGCTTGGAGCAACCTGGGCTAGTGGGAGGTGTCCCTGCCCATGGCAGGGGATGGAACAAGAGGATCTTTAAGGTCCCTTCCAACCCAAACCACCCCTTCATTCCGTGATTCTTCCCCCCAACAGCAGCTCTGGCTCAGACAATGTAGCCTGTATTCCTGGGGTACCCCAACCCCAGCTCAGCAGAGCCACAGGAGATGCCCTCTGGTTAATGCAGCAGCTCCTGGAGCAGATCTGCTGCTGGAACATCCCCTGGGATCCAGGGAGCCCTTGAAGCACCTGGGAACCCAGAGTGTGCAGCTGGCACTCCAGCCTGGCACAGGACACAGGACACAGCACCCACCTTTGCGACCCAGCGTTTCACCCAGTCCAGCCAGGGACACGTGGGCACGGGAAGAGGTGCTCTGGGGAGTGGAGCAGGGAGGGGAAGGGGTGTGTGGAGTGCTGGGGGCAGGACCCAGGGCCAGTTACCTTCAGGGGGGCCTGTGTGTCCGAGTCCAGGACGTGGCTGCTGCGCTTGGTGGTGACGCGCTTCCTGCGGCGCCGCAGCACGAGGTAGATCTGGACATAGACCAGCAGGGTGACGATGAAGGGCACGTAGAAGGACACGATGGAGGAGTACACCACGAAGGCAGGGTTGGCAATGATGCACTCTTTGGCATCTGGAACACAAAGGGGTTCAGGATAGTTCTCTCTGCTGCTCGGAGCTGGTTCCCGCCTTCCCTGCCACTGCATCTGTCCTGTATCCAACCCAGGCTTCCCAGGAGACTGATGGCTGAACTGCCAGTCCTTTCTTCTCCTGTCTCTGTGAAGGTTTTGTCCCATGGCTTTCCTTTTTTGCATGTTTTAATAGGAGGGATTTTGAATTTGTAGTGGACAGGTGTTGTGTAAATGCTGTCTGGCGTTGTGTAAACTTCCACGTAACCTCAGTTCTGGTGAGCCTAAAACACTGGGCTGAAACAGCACGAGATGAATCAGACCAGGAGCAGCTGACAAGGGGGATGACTGGGGCAGAAAACACCTTAAACAGGGGCAGATACACCCCGAGACACCCAAACCCTGACCCCCTATCCCCTCCTGGCTGGTAGCAGAGGCTCCCTGGGGACCCAACAAAGCCAGGAAGGTGCCAGCAGCCATCTGCAGGTGGCAAAACACTCACCTGTGTTGTTGAGGCCAAAGAGGAGCGGGCAGGAGATGGCAAAGGAGAGCACCCAGACCACGGCGATCATGAGGGTGACCCTGCGCTTGGAGCTGTAGCGGGTGTTGTAGAGCATGGGCATGGCCACTGCTGTGTACCTGGGGGACACAGAGCCAGCCTGCTGTCAGCCTGCCAGCGCTGCCACGCTGGCAATCCCACCCAGCCCCTGTGGCTGAGGGCCTGGTCCAGCAGGGGAGGGTAAAGACAGACCCATTTCCCGTGCCATGGGTGCCCACAGTCCCTGCTTTGGGGGGCAGCAGGCTGGGCTCAGCTCAGCACAGCATTTTCCTTCCACTCTGAGCTGCTGCCTTCCCCCTGATGGCTGTTCCATCCTTCCAGACTATAACCAGAAGGACCAAACCAATGTGAACATACACAGAGAATTTAATTTACGTTCTCAAGGTCGGTGTCTCTGTGTCTTCTGGCAGAATCCCCGCTCAGAGCCCACAGAGATCCCCTAAATTGCTCAAGACATCAACAGCACTCGCTGTCCCCATTTTCAGGCCTCTGAGTCACAGGTAAAATTAGACCATGTAAAGGTGGCTGTGACTTGCTCCCCTGGGTTTTGACACGACTTGCTGGCACGGAGCCCTCACCTGTCTATGCTGATGGCACAGAGGTTGAGGATGCTGGCAGTGCACATCATGACATCCAGGGTCACAAAGATATCACAGTGGATCCGACTGAACCTCCACTCACCAACCACCTGCAGAGAGAGAGGGAGGGGTACAGAGTTCCCTGGGGCTGGGCTGTTGGCAGGGTCTAAAGGGAGAGCTCTGCACACAGACAGAGGTGCTCGGGGGTGGTTGGAGCTCTGCTGGTTCCAAGGCTGGTTCCTCTGCTCCATCCAAACCATTCCTTAGGACATTCCCCCAGTGGCTGGTGGGATTTCATCCTCCCCAGTCCCACCCTGTTGCTCTGTGTTGGTTTGGGCAGCCCAAAGGGCAAACACAGACCTGGGCTCATGTTCCAGGGGCATCAGGGAGTACAGGTCTCCTGGAAGTCAGAGGGAACGGGGCAGGGCTTAAACAGGTCTCTGGAGCATCTCAAAGCAGATTGAGGAAGCAAATATGTTAACATTGGTTCCAAGCACCTCTAACTGTACTTACAGCTCTTCATTAGACTTTTTTTTGCAATTATACCCAGCAAAGGTCAGCAGTAGACAAGCAGGAGCTTTCCTTCGTTCCTCAGTTTAAGATCAGGGCAGACATTCCTCGCCTTTATATATATATATATATATATATTTTTTTTTTTTTTGGTGAACAAAATGAATTTAATTCAGAGTGAAAACTCTTTAACACTCTACATGATGTGCTAAAGACAAAGAACTGATGATAATGCTTCCAGTCACCAGTAGCCTTTTTCTCTTCGCTTCTCTTGCTATTGAAACTGAACTTTGCCAATTAAGTTTAATAGCAATTATTCGGACTGCTGTGTTTGACATGTGATGAAAAAAGTATATTTCCCTCTAATAAAAATAGAGTCCTACTGCATTTGAAAATAGAATGAATAAGATATCTATTCTTCAGTTATTTCTGCTCTGATATACATAACCATAGGCAGCATAAAGAAGGGAGAATGACTGCATTGAAGCCTGAGTGACAGATGAATACTCAGTGATTAAAAAAGCACTTAAGAGACAGTTACATCAGTAACTTTGATGAGAATTTGCCCAAAGGCAAAGGTTTCCAGCCAGATATAAACCTCTGCAAAATCAGATTCTCTTGGTGCTCTCATTTATGGAGGAGAGACCTCAAGTTTGGAGGTAGAAGATCTTTTTGCATCAAGGCTGTTTTTTGGGGGGAGTTTTTTAAGTATTTCATTTTTACAGTAGTTTTTGCTCGAGTTTGTGACACAAAGCTTGGAAAAAATTGTGATTCCTGACCAACCTCATGTGCAGGTGAGCTCAGAAAGGGGAAAGCACTTTGCATCATTTATGGCTTTTTAAACAAAAAGTGTGTGAGAGATTCTTCTAGCTGGGCCTGAGAGGGCAGGAGCTCCTTACAGGATAAAGCTCTGCTTAGAATGGGCTGTGGCAACAGAGGAACAGAATGGAAGGGCAGAACCAGTCCCAGAGGCACTGACTGCACTCCCAACCAGCCTGTGGTCATGGTAATAAGCTTTAGCAGATGCATGATGCTTTACATTTTTTAAGTGCCATGAAAACAATAATTAACTCGAGTGATAATTAGTATTGTGCTTTCTCGACAGCCTATGTCATGTCAGTGGGTTTGTTTTGCTTTGCATTAGTACTTAATGGGCTCATTGACAGTGGCTTCTTCCCCTGCTCTGCTCTCTGTGTCAGCGTTTTCCCTCAGAAATGAGTGCCTGAAAATTAACTGTAAACTCAGCCTAGTTTTGTACCAACCCCCTGTGCCAAGTGCAGCAGGGTGAAAAGCAGCTCACTTGGGATTTTCTCTCCCATATCGTGACATTAAAGCTCTGGATTTACCCTCCACTTCTCCAGCTCCCTTCTCAGCACTGCAGCCCTTCAGATATAATTTTTTTTTTTTTAATTGCTGGACTCGCTGATCCTTGTGTGTCCCTTCCAACTCAGCACATCTGATGTGGTTTCAGGGGACACCCCTGGTGCAGTTGCAGATTTGTTCTTGTGTGGATTTGAGAACAACTTTGGGGTCCTTTCACTCTCGACCCCTCTGTTTAAAGGCCACATTTATCACAGAATCAACCAGGTTGGGAAAGACCTCAGAGATCATCAAGTCCAACCTCTGACCCAACCCCACCTTGCCTACTAGACCATGGCACTGATGCCACATCCAGGTTCTTCCTAAACACCTCCAGGGACGGTGCCTCTGCCCATTCCAATGTCCGATCCCTCTCCCTGTACGGAATTTCCTCCGAATGTCCAACCTAAACCTTCCCTGTACGGTGCAGCTGGATTGCAATCCACCCCTCTGAGCAGCAGTGGAGTTTGTTAAGCCTGCCACCTGCTCTCACACCCATCTCCTGGAAAAACCCGGAGACGAGAAACCCTCAAGAAACCCGGGAGGTTGCACAGCAGCCGATTTCCAGACCCTTCCCTCCCTCCCTGCACCCCCGAGCCTCCTACCTCCAGATAGACCACCCAGGGCATGACCAGGGTGGCCAGCAGCAGGTCTGCCACGGCCAGGCTGACGATCAGGTAGTTGGTGGTGGTCTGCAGGGATCGCTCCCGGGACACGGCCATGCACACCAGCACGTTGCCGAAGACGATGACGAAGATGAGCAGGGTGAGCAGCATGGCATAGTAGTTGTACTGGGGCTTCTGCTCAGCCTGGGAGGCGTTCAGGGCCCTGCTCCAGTTCCTGTCACCGATGTCACCCTCGTACCAGGAGAGGTTTAGGGGATCCATGGAGGTCAGAGTGCCAGGCTCCGGCTCCGCCCTGGCACGGAGAGGTTGGAGAGACAGTCGAGAGGTCAGCACGTGAAACAAAAATGGAACCACATCAAACATGCTGAGTTGGAAGGGACCCACAAAGATCAGTGAGTCCAGCAACAAGTAAAAAAAAAAAATAGCAATCAACCCCCTGTTTTTGAAGGGCTGCAGTGATGAGAAGGCAGTTGTAGAATTAGGCTTGTGACTGAGGGGAGACCCCACTGCAGTCTGCAACTCCCTTGGGAGGGGCAGAGGAGGGACAGACCCTGAGCTCTGCTCTGGGGGACCAGGGACAGCAGCCAGGGAATGGCTGGAGCTGTGTCAGTGAAGGTTAGGTTGGATCTCAGGGAAAGGTTCTTCCCCCAGAGGGTGGTTGGCACTGCCCAGGCTCCCCAGGGCAGTGGGCACAGCCCCAAGGCTGCCAGAGCTCCAGGAGGGTTTGGCTGATCCTCTGGGGCACAGGGGGTGACTCTTGGGGCTGGGCCTGTGCAGGGCTGAGGGTTGGTCTGGATGATGCTTGTGGGTCCCTCCCAGCCCAGCATACTCTGTGATTCTGTGATTCTCTGGAGCCTGTTCCCCCTGCCCTGAATTCCTGGGGGAAATGTTTGACTGGAGGTGTGCTCAAGACCCGGATGGGAGGCTGAGCTGATGTAGGCAGGGATTCCAGAAGGTGGTTTCTCTGTCCAGCTCATCCCCCAGGTTTCTGAGGCTACCAAAGCCAAGGCTGGGGGTTCAATCCCTGGATGGGCCATCCATGAAGAGCTGGACTCAGAGATCCCTGTGGGTCCCTCCCAGCTCAGGATATTCTGTGATTTTTGAGGTGTCACTCTGTGTTACAGCTCATCCAGGCACAGTGCCTGGGATTCTTGCCTTGGCTCCCCTGCCATTCCCTGCTCCTTGCTGGGTGTGCACAGCTCAGGGCAGATGTGCCATGGCCCACTGGGTTTGTTTTCCATGTGCTTCATGGGGCTCTGGGCTGTGTTGCTTTTTCACTTCCCTTTGCTTTTCCTTTTTTTTTTTTTTTCCTCCAGCAGTGAAATAAATAAATTTTAACCCCCAAGACCCGAATAGTGACAATAATGGAAGTTGACAGCAGCAGTTTTGCAGCCAGGGCTGGCTGGGCTGGGCTGCCTCTGCCACATCAGCACCAACAAAGAGTAAAGGCAGGAGCTGTTCAAAAGAAACCACAGCTATTGGCTGCTTTGGTTTTGGGGTTTCTGGCTTGAGAGGTCTTGAAGGGACCTTCTTTCCTTCAAGAAGGGAAGGTCCCTGTGAGAAGAAGGGAATTTCTCCCAGGAGCAAGTGACAGGATGAGACAACAGGGACTCAGTTTGCTGCAGGGGGGGGTTAGATTGGATATCAGGAAAAGTCTTTTCCCAGGAAGGGTGTGAAGCATTGGCACAGGCTGCCCAGGGCAGGGGTGGGGTCACCATCCCTGGAAGTGGTCAGGAAACACGGGGATGAGGCACTTGAGGACGTGGTTTGGGGGTGACCACGGTGGGAGTGCCGGGCTGACAACGGGACTCGATGATCTTGGGGGTCTTTTCCAACCTAATTCCCTCATTCCCTGCTTGGCACTCCCTGAGATAAAGCATTCCATGTTTCCCAAGCTGTATCTCCATAGAGACCACTCTGACTGGGAAATCTGGCCGTGTTCTCAGCCACCCCAAAACCAGGCCATTTAATTCCCTTAATAAAAGACAAAGTGAACTGGATTTATTAAAACCACGTAAGTGATCAAAATAGCAAAACATTTGCAAATATCAAATTCACCTGGGAACAATGGTTTCTTTATGTTTCACTGAGCTTTTGTGTGCTTTTCTCATTCAGAGAACAATTTGTATAATAATCCTTGGAAATTTGTTGCATATGGGTCCTTAATAGCTGATAATTCAAAAAGTGTCTGTCTGACAGTGCTATCAGCGGCACTTGATAGCTCTACAAATGTCTTCTTAGGAGCTGTCAAAGTGTCAGAAATTAATTAAATGTTAGCTTCTGTGACTCAGAGTGAAGGGGAAAAATCAATGCTAAATACAGCAACAGTTTTTTCTCTTCTCCTGTTGCCCTTTGATAACGCAAAACTATCTCGAGGAGGCAGAAACATGCAGAAAATGCAGGATGGGGGGGGAAAAAAAAGGCAGGGAGATGGAAAAAGTATCTTGAAAGTGTGAAAGGAGTGGAATGGTTTGATAGGTGCAGGGTCAGCCCCTTGGGCCTCTCCTGGCTCCTCCTGAGCTCTGACTGCAGGTCTCAAACCAAATTATTCTTCAGGGAGGAAAGGCCGGAGCCAAGGGGGAGGGAAGAGCAGTTCCAGCCCTTTCTCAGGCTGAAACAACTCAGTGGTGGAGTTGGAGGAACCATTTACAGCTCATCTCTTGTGTCCATCCATTGGGGATTTGTTTTATTTGCATTAGGGAGAGCGTAGAAAGCCCTGGATAAAGTGATGAAAAATTCCCTTCGTTTCCTTCTGCAGCTTCTGCAAGAATTTTTCTTTCCTTCTTTCAACAGGGCTGCTTTTACAGCAGTGCTTTTTGTCTTTATATGTGGCTGGTCATCGTGAGGAAAGTTAAAAGATCGCGTTTGAACGTCGTACAAATGAGGAGTTTTGTTGTTTCTATTTTTGGGGGAAAAAAGTTTTCATTTGGGGAAATGAAACGGGCAAAAATTTTCAAATATTTTGCATGAAATACGGAAATTAAAACACCAAGACCTAGAAACTAAAAACGTGTGATGCTGCAATTAAAGGTTGTGTGTAGCACACATCCTCATGGTACAAACTACAATTAGGTGGAAAACTCTGTTAATTCCTAACTTTTGAGAGTTTGAGTTTCCAGCCCTAAAAAAATAATCTTATTTTCTCCAGAACTGGCATCATTTGGAAGCATTTTGGTGGCCATTAGGGCACCTGGTGAGCCTCTCAGTCCTGCTTTAAGGAGCACTTTTCATTTTAGTGCTGACAGTTCCTCAGCAGAGAAGAAAGAGGCACTTAAAGAGCCGACTAGAAAAGCAAGTGCTTTTCCCTGTGTTTGCCCAGGTGTCTGCATTGCCCGGGGGGGCAGAGGAAAGGGCTCACAAATACAGAGACAAGGTACAAAAGCCCCTGGCTCTGCACTGTCCTCCTTGTTGTCCCCGAGTGTTCCCTTCAGCCCAGACCCGGGGTGGGGACCTGGGCAGGGTCCCAAGTGCAGCCAGTTCCCTGTGAATTAACTGCAGCAAAGCCACTCTAATTCCCACCCCGAGTCCACGCAGAGTTTTAGTGTGGCTGAGCTAATCCAGATATGGATTTGCTGAGGGGCCAAGGGCAGGACAGAGCAGCAAGGTCACAGCCTCGTGTCAGCCGCCAGGAAGGCAGCAGATCCCCCTCCTGCATCCCCGGAGCATCCCTGCTGCTCTCCCTCCCCGGCACCAGGGCTGTGCCCGGGGCTGATCCCCCTCACACCAACCTCCCTCGGGGGCCCTGTTCAAGCCCAACCGGACTGGGAAGCAGCTTTCCAGCAGCTGGAGGGAATCTGCTGCCTGGCAGCTGGGAGAAGGGAGCCAGGAGAGGGGCTGGCAGTGCAGAGCCAGAGGTTTTCCCTTCTCTGCTGTCAACTCCCTGCTCTTCTCAGGGAGCAAACTGGAAAATGTTTGTTTGCAATGCTGGTATTTCTCCCTGGCTCCTCCTGATTGATCATCTGATTACATTTGGGGCAAACAAGCCCGAGATCCCCCTGGCAAACGTGGGATGTTCACAACTGGCAGCAACAAACCCGTTTGTCTCTCTGGCGAGGTCTGAAACGTGAAATGTGTATTCCAGAAGCAGAGTTTGCTCTCTCATCCAGAGACAGGGAAGTGGAGGCTGAAAAGCTCCAGCAGAAGCTCTTACCCACAGCTCAGCTGTGTGTGAGCAGCAGCCTGGCTCTGCCTCTGCTCTTGGTTCTGTGCCTGGTCAGAGATGCCCTGATTCAGTTGTTTTTTTCTCTCAGAAATAGCAAAGGTGTCACACCCCTTTTGGTTTTTACTCTGCTTGCAAACACCCTCAGGCATGAAATACTCCCAGGCCTGATCCTGAGCGAGTGTCACACCCTGTGACTCGTGTCACTGCAGCATCTGGTTTCTGTTTGGGAAGGATTTGTGGCCTTTCAGAGCTAATCTGGCCCTGGCTGCCAAAACACGCAGTTGGCCTTTGCTTCTGCATGAAACACCACGGAATTCCCTCGGGTTTTGCCCCAGACATAACAAATTTAACATGAAATCTGGAGTTCAGGGTGAATTTTCACGGGCCAAGCTTTCCTATGGGCTCCAGACACAATCACACTGCTTGGCTTGGGGCTGAACTTGATGTGCACCAACAGGGAAAGAGCAGCAAAAGCCACCAGTGCCAACATCCCGATGGCAGAGCTTCCACAGCAGCCTCACAACAGACTCTTCCTCCCTTTCCCAAGGGATTTTGCCTGCAGTTCTTGCCAGATTGATATTTCCTGCTGAGTGCTGGTAGCCAGAGGTACCCACCAGTTCCTGAGCCCTGCCCAGGACTGTGGGAGAGGGGGGCTCAGAGACAGATTTTCTCCAAAGGCTTCTCTGTTTCACAGAAATCAGTGTCTAAGTGAAATGTGCACAGCACAGTGCTGTCATTTTCCTCTGAAATTTTGGAATCAATGGGCCATAGGAAAGCTGTCAAACTGACATCCCTTCTGTCCTGAAGATGCTTCTTGATGCTGTTTACTGGGCTCCTCTGAGAATGCAACAGAGACGTTCCAATTGAGGGAAATAACATCTCCTTTTGGAGCAGGGAGGAGGTGGAAGAGAAGGAAAAGGGGAAAGTGTGTTTGAGGAGCTGTTTTGTTTTCCTGTTCAGGAGTTTTGTGCAAAGAAAAGCACCTTCTGGTGTAGTTTTACTACTTTTTTTTTTTTAATTTATTTTTTTGCATGTAAGCCTGGAATTGTTAATCCAGGCTGTGAATTCCTGGTTGTGGTTCCCTGGAGAGCAAGGAAGGTGTGTAACAGCCAGCAGTGAGTGAGAACCTT